GATTCACGTTCTCGTCGAGCTGCCTCAGGTCGACAGTAGAACAAGATTTGTTTTTTGGTTCTTACTTTGTCTTGTTCTCATTTTTTTTTTTTTTTTTTTGCTCTTTTAAGCCAACAGCACGTGGCGTTCTCAGACGGTCACCCATCCAAGTTTGCACCACGCCCGATGCTGCTTAACTTCGGTGATCGTACGGGAACCGGTGTGACCAGCACGCTATGGCCGTTGGCTTCATTATTATTATTATTATTAGCATAAATTGATGAAAAAACAAACAAACAAACAAACGAACAAACAAACGCAAACAAATATTTACTTTTTATAAATAAATCAAATTTAAAAAAAAAAAAAAAAAATTATTTACTTATGTCGTTTTTTTTTTATTTTTTTTAAACATAAAATGGAGGATTAAAAATAATAATAATAATAATAATAAAATCAATATTATTATTATTATTATTATTATTATTTTTAATCATCAATGACAGCTGTCACGGTTTTTAAAATTGATGGATTCGATTTAATTACAATTTTTTTGGATGAGAGAGAGAAAAAACATTTTTAGGAGCTTTGATAAACCTCCTCGCGAAAAAAAAACCTTTTATGGAGGAGGGAAGGGAGGGAAGGAGGTTCGAAAGGTTTTTTTGTTTCATCCATCCCCCTCCTCTCCCCTCAAAAAAAGAAATGCCTATAAAATTTTTCAAACATTTCTTTTCTTTTTTTTTTTTTTAACCGGAGCAAAAATATCGAAAATATCTCGATCGAGAGTCAGATGATACCGTAATGAAAATGATTATGAAGATGATGATGAGTTTTGTATTTGTTTTTAATTCCTCAATTAAACCTACAGCTTATAAGTAATAATTATCACGTGGAGGCACACGTGCACAAACGCACCCAACTTCATCCAATGTCATTTTTTCTATTATTTGGTACTTAAACTCAAAATTCTCCCATTTCAAAAAACTATTAATTATCATCGAGTATTATTATTATTATTATTATTGTTATTTTAAACTCCATTTCTTCTATCTGACGAACCATAATGATAATAATAATTAAATATATTTTTCGGGTATTGATTTACTCATTTTAAAATTCGATAAGTTTTCACAAGACATTCGAAACTTATTAATTTTAATAACGATAACCCTTTAAAAATTTCAACGTATCAACGTAAGAAAAAAAAAAAATAATTTGTCGAAATATTTATTAATTAATTAATTAATTTATTTATTTATTTATTAATAAACGTAATTATTTATTCGGTTTGTTATTTGTTTATAATTTTTTTTTTTTTTTTTATTTGTTAATAAACAAAAGCCAAAATATTTTTTTAATTAAAAAGAATAATTTAAATATATATGTTTCTCATTCGAATACGTAAAACTTTTATTTATTTATTTATTAATATTATTAATAATGAAATTTAAAATGAATTAAATTTATTTATTTTTTACATTAATAATAATATTAATCTAATAAATAAATAAATAAATAAATAAAGATGAACGACGATGAGAGAGTAGTTGGTCGAAAATTGAATTTCCCCCCTTTCCCCATCAAAAGTTCATTATTATTGTTATTTTTAACACGAATACAATGTTAATAATACATAAATAAATAAATAAATAAATAATAATAATAATAATAATAATAATCGAAACGAATGTCTACTGCTTTCCGACAAAAAAAATTAATTAATTAATAAATAATTAAAAATAAAAATAATTTTTCCCCGTTTTTTTTTTTTTTTAACTGATGGTAATTTAACTTTAACCGGACGACGTTGATGGATTTTTTAAAAAAATCTCCATTAGCAGTTTTTAGTCGAGGGAGCGAGGGGGGGTGTGGGGGGGGGAGATAAAAAAAAAAGTTTTTAACTTGATAAATTGTTAATGATTATATACGATTCGTCCGTTTTTTCGTATTTTTTTTTTTTTTTTTTTACGACATTTTCCCCTTCATTTTTACGAAACAAACGAAAAGAAAAGAAGAATGATACGAATCATATGCAAATTCATGTGAAAAACTTTAAATAAATAAAATAAATAAATAAAATAAATGAACAAAAGGAAAAAAGAAAAAAACGAAAAAAACGAAAAATAGAAAAAAAAAAATTCATTT